TTTTTCCTAAAAATTTCTCTGAAATTTTTGAAATTTTTATGGGATTTTGAGATTTTTCAATTTTTGTATTTTTATGAATTTTTCACATTTTTAATTTGATTTTCTGAATTTTTTAGATTTTTACGGAATTTTCAGAAATTTTCTAATTTTTTGTTATTTTTTTCGAATTTTCTGATTTTTATAGATTTTCTTTGATTTTCCAAATTTCTGAAAATTTTGGATTTTCTGAAATTTTATTGAATTTTCGAAATTTTTAAATTTTTCTAATTTTTTATATTTTTTATATTTTATTTTTCTGATTTATTTAGAATTTTTCTGTATTTTTTATTTTTGTTTTTATTTTTTAAAATTTTTCCTGTTGAGAAAGCGAATCGGGACGAACCGGGTTCAGGCCGGTCCGACCAAGTCGAATCAGCCGGCACTAGCACTGATCTGCACTCCGGCGGGCACGACGCCAAAACGGCGTCATTTCTGCTGTTTTTCATTGGGGCATTTTCCCGAACACCTTGTGGGCACCATTTTCATTTTAGAGTTGTCGAGACCGCCTGTTCAGGCTGAGCTCCGACAAGCCTCGGCAACCTTTTACCATTTTTGATTGGTTCAATATGGAGACTATGTCATCCCCTATCCATTTTTGCTCATTGTTCCATCGCCGAACCGTCGCCGGCCGGAGAAAAACCAAAGACTAACCTAAAAACTAATCCAGACTAACTTCACTGATTTTCAAATTGAGATAAAGTCTGCCCTAGCCGTCTAAATCGTTTAAAATGAGTATAAAACCATCAAACAAGGTTAAGAAAAGCTAACTTGGACAGCCTATAGCCACAGGGACGCTCCGGTGAGGTAAGGGCTGCTCCGGCGAGGTGGTTCAATGGACGGCCGACTCGGTTTAGGGCACATTTACAATCCAAAATGCAATCAAACAAGAAGAAATATGCTCGAAAACAAGTTTCAAACATCAACAACCAAGAAAATTTCAAGATTTAGCGCAGTGTAGTTCAACTATTCAATCTGGAATTCTGAAAAAACAGTGATGAAATCTAAACTTTACCTGCTTCAACGGAGGGTAAAACAAGATTTCCGCGGCAATCAAAAACCGTGGCGCCGTTCTTTGACACCTGAGCTTCAAGCTAATGGACTCAGTTTCGTCATAGAAGCTCTGGACGCGCCGGCCAAGCTCGAGTTTCAGAGCTTCACAACTAGCTTCAACACAAGTTTTTCAGGTGAGAAGGTTGACCGTCGAGCCGATTTGTCGGCGTTTTTCTAACCGGAAAAACGCCGATCGCTCGGTCCTTAGAACTTCAACACACCTCTCAAGCTCAGACTCTCTCTTTCTCACTCTCTGGTTCTCTCTCCCTCTCTCAGTGATTTCGTCGAACACTCTCTACGCATAGGATCACGTTTTTTCTTTCTTTTCTAGCCCGATTTCCAGCCCAAAAATCGTTACCACCAACCTCCGAGTCGGTTATAACGAATCTCCGATGCCAGCTGGAGATTCTCCAGCTAGTAAACTTGATCTTCACGTGCTTATTTGGCCCCGGTAAGGTGGTGAAGTGGCGGACCGAGAAGCATTTGGGGCTCCGTTGACAATGAAAATAAACCCCACCTCATGAATGTATTTATCTTTTGTTTGTCATACTTTAACTCTCCTCTCTCTCTCTCCGGCTTTTACTATGCTTCTTTGCAAAGCTCGGGGATCGAATCCCACAACTGAAACTAAACGTCCCCGCCCCAGTCGATTCTCAATGAGGTTAAACCCCTCCTCATTTATTGGAATATAGATTAGGGTTTTCCCACGCGAATTGCATAAATAAATTGGTTTCAATTTCTGCTAATTTTAATAATTTCAATCTATCAAATTTTGATTTGAAATATCTTTAGGCAATTGCTATCCAATGTTTAATTTGAAATCTTAGTTTGTTGGGCTTTTGTCACTATGAAATTCTCCAAGGATAAGAACACTAGGAGTGCCATAATTTTCGTATGGCGCTCGCTTGAATACCATAACTTTTTTTTCGCTCACTTGTGTGCTAAAAATTTGAAAAAGTGATCACTTGAGTGCCATCGGCCATTTGGCAGTCGGAAATCCAACGTGGACACCGAAAAATCATACATGGACGTCGGAAAATCTGACGTGGGCAATTTTTATGCTTTTTTATCATTTTTTTAGTTTTATTTGGCCAATCTAATTTGCAGATGGGCACAATGAAGAACTTCATCTTCCCCATGGTTGGGATACTGTAGCACTTAGGAATTTTGGCTAGTCGAGCCCAAATCCGGCAAGGGCTCTGCCATATGCCTCGCCGCTAAAGACTTCCTCCTCGAGACTTGTCATACTTATTGAACGTGTTCTTGTATAGTTCCGAGTCGCCCTTCATCTGGAGCTTGGTTTACTGGTGTCGAGTGGGCGCAAGCACACGTAAGTGAACGAGCCGGCGATCCTGCCTCCGGTAGCACCAATCAGAGCTCGCTCAAAGACAGAGAGGTTCTTAATGAGGGATTGCACTTTGTGGTTGTTTCTTGAGTTGGGTTTGATCGATTTTGAGTAATTAGGAGGGGAATTAGGATTTTCGAGAGAGAGGATTGTGGAGGAGAAATTGAAGCCGGCGGCGAGATGTGCACAAGTCTTGGGGGGTCTCGAGGGCGGAGGCAAAAGGGAATTGAAGTGAGTGAAGAGGCTTGTGAATTTGGATGGAATCGGGTGGAGATTGAGGCGCGGAAATGGGAGGTCAAGAGATGCAGAGAGCCTTCCCTCCATTCTTTCTCCCAAGCTTTAGCTCTTAGTTACCATGGCTGATCGAGCTTCAAGCTCATGGCGGAACACCTTTGCCCAGTTGCAGAAAATGGGGGAGCAGCTGATCGGCTGCTTGTTGGCGAGAAATCGTTCCCTCTGACCTCCGCCTTTTGACATCTCTATCTTTGTTTCACTCGCGGTGGCCATCGTGGCTTGAAACTCCAGCGGCCATGGCCGGTTGAAGCTTAGAGCTTGAGTGGCCATGGCAACCCCTCTCTCTCTCCCTAAGTTTTTCTTTTTCTTTTTCTTTTTCTTTTTCTTTTTCTTTTTCTCCCTTCATGTCTTTCTCTCTTCTCTTTTATGTTACATGACGTGGCAATAAATTCATCCTTTTATTTTTAAAAATTTCCACGTAGATATGAAAAATTAAATAAAAAATCCACATAGGACGATTTGCCGGAAGTAGCACTGAAATGATCTATTTTACTCCGATGTGACACTCAAGTGAGCGAAAAAAAGTTATGGCACTCAAGTGAGTGCCGTACGAAAGTTATGGCACTCATAATGTCCTTATTTTCCGTCTTGGATATGTTAATTAAGGAAAAGTGGTAATAAGCCCAAAACAACCAACTTGAGAAAGCCCATGGAGACCAACCCAATAATGAAGCCCATATGGGGCTGACTCCGACCCGGATCACTCAAGCATCCCAGGTGGTTCGAAAAAAATCAAGATAGGTTGACACAAATAGAATCCATTGGCGTTTAAATTTGTGATTTCTTTCGAATATATAATAAAGTTATCATTTCAATCCTCTTTTGTTTCCTTATCAAAGCATCGGAGTATCTTCTAAGAAAAATCGTAAGAGACTTCTTTGTCTATCGAGCCCAAGGTCCTAGTCTTCGAAAGCTTTATCCACCAACGCATCATTAGCTCTAAAAACAACCAAAATGCATCTCTTTGAGCCATTTTTATTCTCAAATAAAATGAAAGCATAACGGACTTTTCCGAACCAAATAAGTTCTTAGTCGCCTTCTCATGTTAGGGTGTTCATTGAAGAGAAACGATGCAGACACGGAGAGAATAACTAATAGGCTAAAATAGACATTGTCCGACTCACATTGTAATCAAAGATAAGAGAAATTGGAAAGATCTTTATCTCCTATTTTAGGGAAAATGACACAAACAATAATTGAACTTTAGTCTAATGTGCAATTTGATCCCTAAACTTTTAATTTGTTCAATATAATCCCTGAACTTTAGGCTAATGTTCAATGTGATCCTTAAACTTTTAATTTGATCAATGTCATCTCTGAACTTTTGGTACATATTTATTCAATCCATCAACTATATGAAAATATTCAATGCAGTCATTTCCATTTATTCAAGTTCAAGGACTACATTGAACATTTTTATATAGTTTAGGAACTAAATTAAACATATACTAAAAATTCAGGGATGACATTAAACAAATTAAAAGTTCATAGACCACATTGAATATTAGCCTAAAGTTCAGGGATTATATTGAACAAATTAAAAGTTCAAAGAGCAAATTGCATATTAGGCCAAAGTTCAGAGATTGTTTGTGTCATTACCCCCTATTTTATTAGTCAAACTGAAGAAAGATTTGTCTGAAATATTGGTCATTTTAATTACTTCCAATTTTTATTTTTATTTTTTGCAATCCAAAACCATTGTCGAGCCCCAGATCATCTTTTTCCTTTTTGGAACCAAAAGGAGTGGCAGGGAAAAGCAGAATGGCAGTCAAAATGCAGGAAAGGTTCTCACACAAGTCGGTCAATATTCAATTCTCTCGTACCAACTTGTGAACGAAGCAAGAGCAAATAAATAGATAAATAAATTAAACAACAGCAATGAAAAGTTGAACATTTGCACACATCACAAGTGAGCCCACTGACTCAATTTCAGGGCCAGAACACAAAATTTAAACATCAAATCAGTTCCCCTCTTTAGTCGTCTTGCAGAGGCTTTTCCCTCTGATCCTCTCAGTAGATTCTTTTATTGCATCAACTTTCCTTTTCAGCAGTTGGTCACAGCTATTAAAGGATATAATTCTGTAGCTTCTTTTTCTATGACTGCAATTATTTTTTTCTGGGTAAGCCTGTAACACTTTTCCTGGTTGATACTAACTTAAGATTTGCTAAAGTATGGTCTATAGACTCTATATGATTGATAATTGGCCAAATTTGATTGATTATCTGTGAGTTTATGTTCAGAAACTTTTCGATGCAAATTTGTTTTCAGGGACCAAATCAAGTGAATTGGTTACTCTGCATGTGATGAAACACCAAAATGCCAACTCGATCGACTCTTGGCACTTCAATTCTTATGCATCTTCTTCCAACAAATGACACTCCTTTTCTTTACATAAGACAAACAAACAAACATGTAGAAAATTCTAGAGCAACTGATGAAAGATGACCCAACCTCTCTTGCCTCAACCATCACATTACTTGAACCCGGCATTGGATTGCAAGGACGAGTAGCGCAGTGACGAAACCGAGAAGCTTGTGTTATTGCTCTTCAGGTACAAGCTCGTCAGCTTAGAGGACGAGGTCGCTGGGACACAATTGTTCTTTCTGTTTCCTTGATTTTCAGACTCCTGAGAACCCTTAAGGAGAACGTCAACCTTGGCAAACTCCTCTCTTTCGTGTTTGATCTCCTTGAGCATTGCAGCAACGTCCTTCATGGTCGGCCTCTCATCAGGGGACGGACTTACGCACAGCATCGCAATGCCTAACACTTGCCTCATGTCTTCCACTTCAGATTCAGGCCGAGACAGCAAGTTCGGATCGAGCAATTCAATGCCCCCCCTCTTTTGTCTGACCCAATCCACGATGTGAAGGCCATCTGGTATGGTCGGATCGATAGGTTGCTTCCCTGTCAAGACTTCCAATACCACTACGCCATAGCTGTATACGTCACTCTTCTCTGTTATCTTCATCATGTAGCCATACTCTGTCACAAATACAGCGCGGTCAGATCAATATCGAAAATGGATTGATGTTAAGATTTTTGGTGCTACCCTGCTCTGGAAGGGCTATGAAACTATTGTACCAGCCATTTGAAAACTTACTTAAAAGTTCAGATCAGATGCTTAAAGAATACTGAATGCTTGGAAAGAAACAAAGACTTTGACACAAAGCAATAAACAGAACAATGTGTCATGTGTAATGGACAAGCTGACCTGGAGCAATGTATCCATAAGAGCCAGCAACCGTGTTCGAGGACCGAGCAAAGTCACCATTGTCAACAAGCTTGGCCAGGCCAAAATCGGCAATGTACGGCTCAAATTCAAGGCCTATGAGGATATTATTTGCTTTGATGTCACGGTGAACGATCGGAGGTACGCAGTCGTGGTGTAAATAAGCCAGCCCTTGTGCTGCCCCGATCAGTATTTGGTACCGGAGTTCCCAATCCAATGAATTTCTGTTCCTCTCATGCAGGAGGCTACCCAAGCTCCCATTCGGCATATAGTCATACATGAGCAATCTAGTGTTTCTGTTCCAGCAACAACCCAAGAATCTCACAATGTTCTTGTGACGGATGGAACCAAGCGTTCTCACCTCTGCTGAGAACGAATCACGGACCGCACTTTTCTCTTCATCAAATGAACTGGTGGGGGCTTTTGTCGTGGGCCACAGCTTCTTCACGGCAATCACTTCCCCGTTATCCATGTCGGCTCGATAGACAACCCCAGAACACCCTTTTCCAATCACGTTGGTATCCACTAGGCACTTAAGCACCTGATCCACCGAGAAATTCAGCTTTTGGAAAGGGGTGAATTGCCACGGCCAAGAATCTCCTAACTCCGATTCATCATCGTCCTTGTTCGTTCTTCGGGCCCAGATAACTGCAAATATACCCATCACTACCATTGCCACTGTCAATGTAATCAACAGGGCAATTGCTAGTCTCAGCTTCCGCGAATGGCTGATGTCTTCATCTTTACCCATCATTTCTTTGCCATCACTAGCATTCAAGAAGCAAGAGCCATGGCTCAAGGAACAAAGGCCTTCATTTCCGGCGAGATCATTGGACGAGAGTTGTCGGAAAAGCTTGGTATCAGGAAGATAGCCAGACAAGTTGTTATAGGAGATGTTGAGGGACACAAGATTATCAAGGGAAGCCAGTGGACCGAGACTTCCCTGAAGCTTGTTATGCGAAAGGTCCAAGATCGACAGCTTACTCAGAGAAGACATCTGTACTGGAATTGGCCCAGTGAGGCCGTTCCAGCTGAGGTTAAGAGCGATCTCAAGCGCCTCGATTCTGCCCAGTTCCAGCGGTATGCTTCCTGTCAGCTCATTGCTGCTAAGATCGAGCAACTGCAAACTTGAACACAGACCAAGTGCAGAAGGAATAGAGCCTGAGAACGAATTCTGTTTGAGTATAAGCTTGTTCAGTGAAATGAGGCGTCCCAAGCTCGTAGGTATTGGACCTGTGATCCTGTTGAAAGAAACATCCAAGACTTGGAGGCCCGAGAGGGATGATAGTGACTCAGCAAGGGGACCTTCTAGGGTGTTGTTGTTCAGGTCTATCATTTGCAGCTCCGTGCATTCCCCGAGCTCATTGGGCACCTTCCCGGAAAGACGATTCCCAGAAAATTCGAGAAAATTCAGATTCTTAAGGTTTCCTACTTCTCTAGGAATTCCACCAGCGATGCGGTTGTTCCCAAGCCGAAGACGCACCAGAGAACTGCAATTGCCGATTTCCGGAGGTATCGTCCCAGAAATATCATTAGAAATCAAGAGCAGCTTGGTGAGATTCTTGAGCTGAAACAGCCCTGGAGGAATTCTACCGGTCAGGGTATTGTGCGACAAATCTAGAGCTTGGAGATTACTACAAGAAGCCAACGTCGGAGGAATGCTTCCTTCGAGCTGGTTCTGCCAGGCGAAGAACACATTGAGCCTCGAAAGCTTCCCGAGCTCAGGCGGAATTAGCCCCGAGATCTGATTTGTGTCGAGCTGCAATTGCTGGAGGCTCGTGGCATTGGAAAGATTAGCAGGTATCGAACCGGACACATTGTTATTGCTAATCATAAAAGCTTCAAGCCCTAACAACCCTCCTAGAGACATTGGCATTGTCCCAGATAGAAAATTTAAGGAAAGATCAATCATCCTGAGACTGCTACAATTACCAATCTCCTCAGGAATAATGCCCTCAAGATTATTCTGCCACAATAGCAATTGTTCAAGCTTCCGAAGCTTGCCAAGCTCAGGTGGAATAGAACCAGACAAGCTGTTCTCATAGAGGAACAAGTCCACAAGCTCAGGACAATTCCCTATATCAGGAGGGATCTCGCCAGAGATCATTGTGGTGTATATGGACAAAGTTTGGAGCTTTTTGAGCTTACCCAATGAAGGAGGCAAAGAGCCTGCCACCTGTGTGTCGGCCAAGCCCAGGACTGTCAAATTTGTGCAATCTCCAAGCTCCTCAGGAATCTTCCCAACAATGTCCCTGTTCCCTCCAGCCCTGAAGACTTCAAGGCTTGACAGCTTCCCCAACTCAGGAGGAATAGAACCACCAAGCCTGTTGTCAAAAAGCAAGAGACTCTTCAACACTCTGCAATTGCTTAGCCCAACTGGGATTTTCCCAGTGAGCCTATTAGAATTCAGAGTCAGCTCCTCCAAGTCCCTGAGATTGCCAATCGTTTCAGGAATGGCTCCAACAAGAGAGTTGGAGCTCAGGTCAATGACTGAGAGAGCAATGCAGTCGCCTATGTCATCAGGGATCGTCCCGGTGAGATTCGCCTGAGAAATGACAAGATTCTTCAAGGACTTGAGGGAGGAGAGATTGGTGGGCATAGGGAGCTGAAGAGTGACAGACTGGATGTTAATCTCTGTGACAAAGCCCTGAGGAGAGCATGTGATGGAGGCCCACTTGCATGGGGAAGTGTCGTGGCTGTTCCAGGAGGAGAGGATTGGAGGAGGTGGTTGGGGAGACGAGTTGAGCCATGTGAAGAGGAGGGAAGCTTCTTGGGTTGCATAGATGGTGGGAAATGAGCAGAGAAGAGGGCCAAAGAAGAAGAAGATGCAGAAAAAGAGAGATTTTCTTGGAGTGGGCATAGGCATAGACATTTGCCTCAATTTCTTCACCATTCTTCTTGGGTTTGCACCATTTGGGTTTCCCAACTTCTCTGTCTCTCTCCCTCACTCTCTTGCTCTGTGTTTTTCTTTTCTTTTGTTGGGTTTCTTGGTATGAACTCAAGCTCAAGGAGGCAAGAACAACAGCAACAGCACTCTTGCCTCTCTTTCTCTTCGCTTCATGTAGCGTGCGTTGCAAAATGCACTGACAAACACTGCAACTAAAATATTATTTCGCAAAAACAATTGCAGAAAAAAGAAGAGATTAAAATACAATTGAAAAGAAGGACAATGGCCTTGAGATCGGCGACCACCACCTCCCTCCTAGGATGCCTCTCTCTCTCTCTCTCTCTCTCTCTCTCTCTCTCTCTCTCTCTCTCTCTCTCTCTCTCTCTCTCTCTCTCTCTCGTGTAGGAGGAGGTGCAAGATTTGTTTATAATAGTTTTTGACTGAACCATTAAGAAGAAGGGGGAAGCTAAAATGAGTTAGCTCCAACTCCAATTCAGTGTTTTACTCTTGCACCATCTTTGCTTTGTTTTCTGCATATTCTTTTGGGTATTTTTTTGTTTATACATTGTAGAAGCCCATACATGTAATAACCGAACACATTAACATTTTACTAACCTTATGAACCAAATAAGATACAGAGTCAAAGCACGGAGAACTGGATCAGATGAAAAGATTATTTGCATTCGACGATATAGCGGATCAATCCCCTGTCCTGGTTAAGAGCCACTTTTTTTAATTGTTCTTTTCGGACACAGAGACAACAGGAATTACTCCCACTTACTTCAGCCATGGATGGGCTTATGGGGCTCTGGTTCGGTTTATTTTTGGCTGATAGAGAAGGGTTTCTGGATTCAGTTACTCTCTTTTATTGTTTTTTGTCTCAATCTAAGAGCCATATTTGTATTTGGTATTGTCGTCTGTGTCATCGTGTTAACTTCTATGTCATCTGCCGCAAAGATCATATGACAATCTGACTCTTTTAGCACTTTACCCTCAAATTAAGGGAATTTCTTGGCAACAATTGAGAGGTTTTGGACATTTGGGAAACTGAGGAAATTGTGCCTCATCTTGCCAATTATTTTTGTGCAGAGACGCATTCAGAGCCATCGTGTGCGCTCTTTTTCTCCCATTTTGTTCAAAGCAACAGACCAAACAAATTCAGGAGAATGACATTTTTCTCCCGGATCATTCCCCTGAATTTTGACATTTGTTACAAATTGCCCCCCGACTTTTCAGTTTTTGCAATATCCCCTCCAAAGTCTTGAAATTAGTTACAATGTCCCCGGTCGCTTATTCCGATCATTTTTAAGTTGGAGCTCCAGTCATGTGCTTATCACATGACTAATTTGCTCTTTATGGAGGGCAAATCTGTGTAACAACAAATAATGAATTATATTCTACATCCTAGGTTTTGGCAAATGTGGCAATTTGCCCCTAACTTATTAATTTTTTTCAATGTCCCCTTTAGAGTATTGAGATGAATTTCAAAACACCTTGACGGTGATCTTGACCATTTTTTCTCATCTAATGTCCACCAGAGATTGATTTTGGTTATTTAAACGAGGGACATCCTACCTTCGCTTGGTACATGCGTGTGACTGTGGCATAGCCTCTACTAACGTTGCAGCTACCACGTGCTGGAGTGCTCTCTCTCGCTCTCCTTTTTGTATTTGGATATTTCTTTTCCATAATTACTCTATAAATCAATTGTTTTACTAATTAAAATCATTTATTCTAATTAGTAAATATTTCGCTATCATAAGAACTCATAAAAGTAAAGTATTTTATGACTTGTTATTTTTAACAATAAAACTTAGCACATACATGGTCACGCCGCATCAACATTTGATGCTCATTATGTTTCTTATAAAGTTATGTTAGCACTAAAGCGTCGCATCTATTAATTAATAAGAAAAACAATTGATTTATAGAGTAAACACGTTAGTTTTGGCGAACAAATTAAATAAAATGTGTATATTGTGTTAGTTTTTACTAATGTTAGAATGCTTCTATATTTCTTCATTTGCTTTATGTTACCCTACATTGCAAGCTCTAATAGGTCATTTTTTGAAAATGATATGCAAATTTTGGTAAAGTACATGATAATTGTGAAAGTTTAGAGGAACTCTCGAGGCCATAATCGAAACTAAATACAAAGTTTGATTATTTGAAGGGAAAAGTACCAAAAAAGTCATAAACCTATTGCACTTGTGCCAATTTAGTCATAAACCTTTTAATTGTACCAATTGAGTCATAAATCTTTTAATAATTTGCTAATATAGTTCATTCGGCCAATTTTGGCCAGAAATCATTAATATAGACATCACCCGTCCTACGTAGCATGGCCAGCACTAACATGAATAATTTTTTTTGGTTTTTTTTATTTTTCTAAATTGTTTATTACTTTTTTGTTTTTTTCTTTACTTTGTCTTCTTTTCTTTTTTTCTTTTCTTTCCTTTCTTTTTTTCCCAACTGGGCCAGCGCCAGCCCATAGTTGTAAAAAAGCAAAGAAAGAAAAGAAAAGAAAAATATATATTTAAAAAATTTCAGAAAAAAATTTAAAAACTATAATATTTGTCCATGTCAATACCGGCCACGTAGGACGGCCAGCGTTCATGTAAACGATTTCCGGTGAAAAATTAGCCGATAGACTACATTGGCAAATCGTTAAAAGGTTTGGACTCAATTATACAGTTAAAAAGTTTGGGACTAAATTGGCACAAATGCAATAAGTTTAGGACTTTTTTGGTATATATCCCATTATCTGATGATCCTTTTTAAAGTATGGACTAAATTTGAATAATAACTAAAGTACAAGCCTTCTATGAATATGACAATGTCTAGAGAGAGGAGACTAATTAAACCATGCAACATACCAAGCCAGTTAAAAATGGCAAGTGCTTTTACCCTTTAAAAGGAAATAGAAAATTTTCCAATGTATATGATAATAAAAGCTATTCTTTCGTACCTTAATTGTATTTATTTATGTGAATCGATCTTTTCTGCGTCCTGTAATAAAATCAAGTTATGGTCTTCATTTTATCAACTAGTCTTTCTTCAAGAGTGAACAAAGAAATGAATGAAGAATGAAGAGCAAGAAACATACCAATATCAAATGAATGAAGGATGAGTCAGTGCAGTGAGCAGTAATTCAGATGTTATGAGTAAAATAAGATTGATTGACTTCATTTGTTGATACTATTTTCTAGACAAGCAGTGCTTTCCGCTATTCAGTGCACATTTTACTGTCAAATATATGTTTGTGCAACTTGATGAACTGATCAGAGGAAATATGCAGCTAACTCAAAATCAATTTTATGAAAGTTGGATGATGAATAATCAGACCACCAAGATAATTCATTTAGAAATCTCGATTAGAGGATACTAATCTCTTGATATGCACGAACTTGTTGCGGTTGATCGATTATTCACAGCTGGACCAATTCCATGGTTCTGATATATACTACTTCCCTCATCAGAAAAATATAGATGCATCTATAATTTCTTCTGCATTATGTTCTTTTGTGCCCAAAAATCTGATTAAAGCTGATTTCGATTGCCAATAAAGGCAAATGTACATAGTTAGGATTACGATTCGATATAATCTCGGTGAAACATATAGTTCGACGACGGCAGCATATGATTGAGGCAAAACGGAGGTGGTAAAGTCGGGCTCTTAGATGAGTTTGGTTGTGTTTTAAGTTAACACAAATTATAATTTTTTCCCCTAATTTCCTGATGATACTCAGGTCAGGCACATCCAAAATTGCGGTCTGCAAGGTGTTGAACTTAGACCATCTCTGAAGATCACTTTTATTTTTGCCTTATCTTGAACCTTGCTCATCAGAAATTGCACCCTTCTCCAATTATGGCTCACAATTGCCTAGAAAAAGCCTCATGACCGGATGATTTGAGACATTCCCAAAAACCTCACTTGCGTCATCTTATCTTCAGTGGAAAGACACAAAACAGTTTCTGAAGATGAAAGTGCACGAGATGATTGTGCATTTAACTTAAAGCTTGCTTAGGGTCTTGATTCAATTAATTACCATCTTTATGATGACCGAATTACATTTTTTTTCTGGGATGAAGCTTTTGGCCATGGATTATTGCTGTGACATCATTTTTGTGAATTGAAAAATGACATAAACGGTCCCTATACTTTGGCCCAATGTGCAATTTGGTCCCTGAACTTTTAATTTGTTCAATGTAATCTTTGAACTTTAACCCAATATGCAATGTGGTCCCTGAACTTTTAATTTGTTAAATGACATCCTTGAACTTTTGGTACATGTTCAATTCAATCCCTGAATTATATGAGAATGTTCAATGTAGTCATTTCTATTAATTCAAGTTCAGGGACTGCATTGAATATTTTCATGTAGTTCAGGGACTGAATTGAACATGTACCAAAAGTTCAGGGATGACATTGAACAAATTAAAAGTTCATGGACCACATTAAATATTAGCCTAAAGTTTAGAGACTACATTGAACAAATTAAAAAAGTTCATGGACCGAATTGCACGTTCAGTTAAAGTTCAAGAACTGTTTATGTCATTATCCCTTTGTGAATTAAAGCAATAAAGCAGAGGGAATTAGGTAGAATGGTAATAACTCGAATCAAATTCCAGTTCTTTTAAGTATTTTGTGCAATTTCATGTTCGAATCACAGATACAAATAATGATTTTGTTAGTATGACTTCACATTATGCATTGTTATAATATTCATTAAATTACGTAACTATTTACCGGGTAATTAAGAATATTCAACCCACAAGCAACCTCATTTAGAATATATGAACTTTACATGCAACTCATCTAGTTATTTATACTTTTATATAATGAAAATAAAGTCATAATTTTATAGGTAACCATTTATCCCATTTATTCCTCTTCATGTTTTATATATACACACACACACACATTGTGGACATGTTATCACCACAAATTGCACTTCTTCATCTTCTCTTTATATCTTCAGTGATTTTTCCTCTTCATATATCCCAATTTTAAGTGACTTTTAAACAAT